TATATAACATTTTTAAGATTTACTAGTAGTTATAAGTCACTGTCTTTGACAATGATCAGAATGATAAGTTAATGTGTCAAAAAATAACTTAATTAAGCTTATAGTTTCATAAACAACTTCCAAAGCTAATGAAGAAGTAGAATTGCACAAATGATTACAGAACACAATAATGAACTTATTTTGATATTTATTTTCATGGATTCCAAAATAAGAGGTGATGAAGTTACCTAGTTTTTTTTTTTTTTTTTAACACATATTCAAGAAATTTACTAATAGAAATAGATTGAGTGTAGATTTGAGGCAATTACCGAACTAATACTCTTTTTTGGACAATTTTCATAAATGTTGGAACCACTGCAGGTACTCATTAAGATAATGATTAGACTGGAAGAAACCATCCTCAGAGAATCCTTTCTGAGGAAACCATGTATTTGTCTATCATTTTCTTGTTTCTCAATGAGGGTTTAAAAAAAAATTAACATGCATGATTAGTTATAACGATGTTCTTTTGCTCTCCCTCTGGAATGATAAAGCATAATCACTGACTTATGTAACATGGTACCTTGCTTGTAAATTTGTGACGGAAGCTCCTTTTGTTGACAGTCCTCATGTCTGCCATCTGTTTGCAGGGGATAAAGCCCTGGGCTCCTCTAATTGGCAATAAATTAGGTACTAGCAGCAGGCTCTTGACAGAATCCTTCAGTTATGGTTTGAATTTTTTTTTTCAAGCTATGAATTCAACATTTTGTGGAAAGTCCAACTTCTCTCCTAAGATTATAGGAATGTAGTTATTGAGACCCTAGCTCAAGCTATCTTCTCTGTATTTATGCTAAAATCAAAGACCTCTCTTAAGTTGTCTTCTTTGTATATATTCTCTATGGTAGACTTATCCTGATTAGAAAGAAAAGCCGCTAAATCCAGGTGATTCCTATGCGTTCTTTAAAAAGAGGAAGGACACATTTATTGAGTGCTTACTACATGTCTTGTTCTGTGTATAGACCATTCCATATGTCAAATTGTTTCATTCTCAAAGCAAGTCTATAACTTAGGTAGTATTATTCCATTTTGCAGATAGGAAATCTGAGATTTAAAATTGAAGTACCTTGCCCATAGTACATAAAAATGGTGAAGTCAGGGATTAAATACTCGATTTTATTTGAAAAAGTCCATGCACTTTCCATTACACACTACATATGCCTAGGTTTGAAAAAGAGAAAATGAGGGTGAGGGCAAAGATATGTTTGTGGCACTATTTGATGCTCCTTCATCTCTTGAGACTTCAGTTAAGTAAAATGAAGGAGCTGGACTAGATGACCCACAAGGTCTCGTCCAGTTTGGTTCTCTGTGGTTAGATCAATCTGGGCTCTACCATTCAGCATAAAACCTTATCAAGTTATTAAACCTCTATGGGCTTTAATTTTTCTTCTACAAAATGCTCTATCAACCTTCCAGTTTGGATCCCATGCATGTGAAAATACATGAATTATAAAGCACTGTAGGGATATAATATGCTATAATTACTCCCCCAAATCATCTGGCAACCTCTCAACCCCCTAACCCCCCTCTCACCCTTCCCTTCACCAAATTTATTCATCCTATGCTACAGAGGCAGGATTAAGACCATCCAACTTCCCACAAGTTTCCTTATCCATACCTCAGCATTTCTCCTTTTTTCTGCTATTTTCCGAAGAAAATAAAAAGGTATATTCTCCTAGTAACCATTTTCATTTGCCCTCAGTTGCCTCCTCTGTGGCCACATTTCCATCAAATATTCCCCTCTGTGGCCCCACTTCCATTAAATATTCCCTTTAGTATTTGCTTAATCTTTCAGAATACTTGTATATACTCATCCTCATGAAACTGTCCAAGACCGTGCTAATGCCTCATACTCCCTCCCTTTTTTCTCCTTTTCTTACCAAATGTTTTGAAAGAACAACTCTTTGGGCTCACATCCTCACTGCTCACTCCACATTCTCTTTGCCTTTTATCTCAAGCCATACTTCAGTTCTATTTTCTTCTGTTGATCTTGCCACTCCTTGTATGAAATCCTTTAATGACTCGAGAAGGACAAAAATGTTTTGAAAGGTCCCATCCTCTCTTCAGCTTCAGAGTGTCCCTCTTTGTAATCTGGATTCCATTTTCACCACTTTAAACTATTTTCTTCCAGGTTACTAAACCTATTGCCTTTTTCTCTATCTTTATGCCTCTTGGCTTCACACTTGCATTTAACACTATTGATTGTCCCATTTCTCTTGAAATGTTCTCTTAGTTTTCCTGAGGTTTTATACACTGCTCTGATGGTTAATGTCTCAATTTCCTTCACTAGTTTTTCTTCCCCTGTCTAACTCTTAGATGTAAGAAATGCACCAAATTCTAAACTTTGTCCCTTTCTCTTCTCTACTCTTTTGTGTAATTCTATTGACTTTCATGGCTTCAGCTATTAACTCCATACAGGCAATTTTTAAGTTTATATCTCTAACAAGAGTTCCTTTCCAAATTCCAATCTCCTGCAGGGCACTTACTTTTAGGTGTCCAAATTGTACACCAAATTCATTATATCCTTAATGGAATACCATCATTCCTTCCCAAACATTTCCTCTTCTATAGTTATGCTGCTGCTGTTGCTGTTAGGCGACTTTAAGTTGGTTCTAACCCACAGCAACCCCATGTACAACAGAACGAAACACTGCCTGGTCCTGCGCCATCTTCACAATTGTTGTTATGCTTGAGCCCATTGTTGCAGCCACTGGGTCAGTTCATCCCCTTCAAGGTCCACCTCTTTTTCGCTGACCCTCTACTTTACCAAACATGATGTCCTCTCCAGGGACTGTTCCCTCTTGATACCATGTCTAAAGTTTGTAAGACGAAGTCTCGCCATCCTTGCTTCTAATGAGCATTCTGGCTGTACTTCTTCCAAGACAGATTTGTTTGTTCTTTTGGCAGTCCATGGTATATTCAATATTCTTCACCAACACCATAGTTCAAAGGCATTGATTCTTCTTCAGTATTTCTTATTCACTGTCCAGCTTTCACATGCATATAAGGCAATTGAAAACACCATCACTTGGGTCAGGTGCACCTTAGTCCTTAAAGTAACATCTTTGGTTTTTAACACTTTAAAGAGATCTTTTGCAGCAGATTTGCCCAGTGCAATGCATCATTTGACTGCTGCTTCCGTGGATGTTGATTGTGGATCTAGGTAAAATGAAATCCTTTACAACTTCAATATTTTCTCTGTTTATCATGATGTTGCTTATTCCTTCTAGGTCTTCTCAATCATGACTACATCCCTAATTTTTCCTTTGCTCTTTATGTTCAGTCACATGTTAAGCCCTGTGATTTTAACTTTTCATTCTTATGCATTCCTCCTGTAAAGAGTCCCATGAGCACCAATGGGATTTAGACTGTCCTAACCAGACACTCTGCCTCCAACCAACCCCTCCCTCTTACACAATTGTCAAATTAGTCTACCAAATACATAGTTAAGAGTAACATCATTTCACTGCATTAAACTGTCAGTTATCTTTATCGCAACATTCATGGTTTTCTATGAACCAGCCCCAACATGTTTGTGAAGTTCTCGACTTCCTTTACAAAGCTTCACTCTAGCCAGTTGAAATGGGTCATAGCTTCTTGTGTTGCTTAGCTGATTTCTCTATTTATATTGCTCCTCCTATATGTCCAGAACCAGCTAATAACATCGTTTTTTCCATCAAGACTTAACCTGGTTCTCTGCAGTTAAAAGTAGTCAGTTTGTTTTCTGGACCCGCATAAAAGTTTATTCTGGACACTTCTTAACCTTCTGCCCTGCATGGTAGTTATTTGTATACATGCCGCATTTGCTCTACTAAAATCTAACACCCAAAACAAGAATCTATGCTGTTCCTTCATTTCTTCCTACAGAACCTAGCACAACACTCTTGTACATGGTAGATCCTCAGAAAAATGTTAGTTGGATGGAAGAAGAAATGAATGGGAGATTGTTGTTTCTGGGAATTGGACAAAGAATATCTTTTTAGGAGATAGTCATGGATATAACTATCATTTTACAGCTTGTTACTGCTCTGGTTCCAGTGATCCAGCATAAAGGGGCCTCCAACAGTGAGATCTGTGATTCAAATGGGACCCCTTTCTACCCAGAGCCCCTGAGCTTAGCATTCCACTTTAACATTCTAGGCTGAACATCTCTGGCCCTTGGTTTCATTCCACATAGACACTAACAGTCTAGTCCAGCTGGAACAGCTCCACTAAAAAGTATGCTTTACGATTCTTTTCCTTGGGTCTGGCACTTAGCTCTTCTGATAAACTGATCTACATACACTGTAATGAGGAAATATCAGTGGAGTGCACAGACATTTTAACAGTACTCTTTGGGAGTCAATCCGATATTTGTAGTTTAACCTACAAAGAATTCAGGGCATGAGACTATTAAGCCAAAGTGGAGAGAAGAAACAGGGAAGGTCATCATTTGAACAAAATTTTAATGGCCCTAACAATCTGCCTATGCCTAAAACGGATGCTTTCTCCAAAAGCACCTCCCCTAAATACTTACATAGTAAGAAGCTGGAGAAGGAGGAATAGAGGAGAAAACTAAAACATGCTTATTCCTTATAATAATAAAGGTGGTTATTTTAAAAACTCACAGAAATATCGAGCATTGGTTGAATGCCTACTGCGTAAAAGCACTTGGTCAAACACTTCATCCCATGTTCTCATGAATCCTCATAATATCCCTACGCTGTATGTATTATCCTCATTTTACAAATGAGTTAACTGAGGTGAAGCTCCTAGTGGTTAGGTATCTTGTCGAAGATCACAAAGCTAGAATGTGGCAGAGCCAGTCACTTCTAGAAGAATAAGGGATGAAAATCAAATACAGAACTCATTTAAAATGAAATGATACAAGTATTAATAGCTCCACAAAATGATTTTTAATTCCAGGAACTTATGTATGTCACTGATATTAGTGTGCAATACACATAATAAAGCAATATACTTACTCTCTGTCGATCACAAGGCAGGTTACAGCTTCTGCAGCAATTACATTTGCTGTTCTCACATCTTCCCTATATAAAAAATAGAGATATATTGAAGTAAAATAATCTCAAATATCAAATATAAGTGTTCACTGTGATTAATTCAGGAAATGTATTAAATTATGTCAACTTTACTGATTTATCTACTTCTAAATTTAAGTTTTATGTTTCAAATTTCTTTGTTCTGAGAAACCATCTTATGCTTGTCATTAATCTCACAAATCCAGTAGTTATAATTTTCAAATCTGAAACTTCACTTAGACAACTGAAATAAAATTTGATAGCATCATTTCCTGTGCCCTTCAGGGAATTAATGAATTAACTGAATAATGAGAAGGACAGTAATGAATATGAATAGATGAGTTTTTAAAGAACCTGGAGATATACTCCTGGAAACTGAGTATCTAATCCATTTGTGTATTAATTTTATTATTACAGTCTTGAGAAAAATGGACTGTTTTATTTCCTTGCTTTAGGGAACCTGTTATTATGTGGCTAAGCTTTTGACAACTTATTGTATACAGATATTCACGTATACCAGAGTTTATGGTTCTTCAGGATTATCAGACAAATCTTGGTCACACTGACTGAAACCAGTATATACTATCTCTTTAGAAGTATCTAATTTTTCACTGCAGGAATACGTATCAACTTCTTAAGCCTTCAAAAATCTGCCCTAGTAACTACTGTTTTATCCAGTGGTCAAAAGTAGTTTTGGTGAATTAACATTTATGTTTCACTTTGAACTACTAATAATTTAATAGCACTACTGTCATGGAAACATTGTTGTACATGAATACGTACTATTTTTTCTCCAAAAATAAAATTTCTAAGTTAATTTAATTAATAAGAAATATAAGTTTAAAATGCTTTAAAGAGAGGTTCATAGAAAATAATATACTATTAATAAAATATTCTAAAACTCATAATCAAAACATCACATGTCTCTAATAAAAGGATTTTAAAGTCTTGATAACAAATGTATTTTGAAATCTTTAAGAAGAATAAGTTAGAGTTACATGTATTGAGTTAGAAGTTCAATATGTTTATCATATTGTGTTACTATGACACATTAAGTGAAGAAAGCAAGTTGTAGAGCAATTGTAGAGTAAAACACATTTTAGTAAAAAAAAACTAGACGTGTGTTTGTATACATGTTCTATAAGCATGAAAAAGTGTGTTCAACAATACCTATCAGGTTATTAATATTCATTACTATTACCCCAGTTATAGGGATATGGTTATTAATTTCTATTTTTACATCGTTTAACTTGTAATGGTGAAAAAAAAATTAATACATGTAATCTAATAAAAATATATAGTTTCAACATGATAAAAATTACTGGTCATTTAAAATATTGGATATGATTCTTCTCTTAGTCTCCACAAATACATTGATAGGTTATTACTCACCACTACCGGCTTCCTGAATTTCTCAAAGTATAAAGGCATATATTCAGTCACCCCAATTATGAGGAAGAATCAAGGTTCAGAGATTTCAAACATTTGTACTTGTGAGTCCAGATCGCAGCAAATGCTCCCCTTTAATCAATTCTCTATATATCAGCCAGCCTAATACAATTATGAGCCTCAGGTCTCTCCCCATACAACACATGCACATACATAAACCCCTCCCCTCCCCACAATTTCTCCTTGCCCTTCCTAGTATGATCCTCCCAGTGCCTCCCAGTCTCCCTCACATTCTTTGCCCTTCAGTCAAACTGGGCTCCTTTCAATGACTGAACACATCATCTCCTCCTGTCTGAGTTCTTACTTGCTTTCCCTGGGCCTAGGAAACTCCTCTCCAACTCCTTGCCTAATTCACCCCTGCTTATCCTTTAGATCCCAGCCGAAGTGCTCCTTTCTCAGGGATGCCATCCTGATTCATTAGGTCAGATTCTCTTTGTCTGAGCTCATGGCCCTCTGTACCCTTCCGTCTATCCTATCACATTAGTAATTGACACATCGTCTATTTGTCTGGTCATTTGGTTGAAGATTGTCTCTCCCCACTAAACCACATCCTCATATGGCAGGCACCAGCCCCAGTTTATCCCAAATGTATGGCACACAGGAAATGCTTAGTAAGTGGGTGCTGGAGGAATGGCATAGACACCACAGCCCCAAGTCTTTGGGTAGCATAGCAGAGATCAGGTTTTGGAGTCACACTGCATTGGCTTTGCATCCCAGCTCCATAACTCAGAAGTCATGTGAAATCCTCAGTTTCCTCATCTATAAAATAGAAAGGATAAGAGTGTCGCCTATTCGCTGTGTCGTCAAGACAATCAAATTTAAGTTTATTACAGTGCTCAGCAAACAAGAAGCAGACGGTGAGTGTTTTGTACTATTTACTACTTCTAATTGTTCTCATTACCATCACCATCATGTCCATGATGTGAGCCTCTGTCTGGTGATTTATAAAATACTCCTAGCCAGGAACAAAGTAAGAGGTTTTCTTTCTGCTCCAAACAAGTAAACAAGAAAGAATACGTGTCTAATTCCATTATCACTTTCTGACTCGGAATTTTTGGTGAAGTAAACAAAACAGGCAGAAAACATTAGGAACGCCCACTGGGTCCTTCATAAGTTGTATGAATGACTTTTTTCTTAGGAGGTTGCTCATAGCAGCATATTATTACTACAAATGACTGCCAGTCTACAAAACTAAAACAAACAAGTATCACAGCCTTATAGGAAATACATTCAAACTAGCTTTTCCTAAGTATATATTTCTATCTTGACAATACATAAATGGCTCACAAAGTTTTACAAATGTAATATATGCAAAATAATGTTTCATTATGACTATTTTCTGTTCATATAAATTTTTAAAAACTTTCATCACAAATTTCCAATATTTTAAACTTTTACCATTTTTTTGGCCTAAATTAGGTATACTTTTAAAATCAAATGCAATTTTTTTGCAACAAAAGTAAAGCAATTTGATATTTTAAAATGTAGAGGGAGGAAGAAAACCAAAGCTCAGAAGAGTGACTTAGTCAATAGAAATTAAATATTTTTATCTAAAAAAGGAAAATTTGCAAGTTCATGGTCTAGAATCAGGCTTCATACCTTGCGAAGTGACATATGTTACAGCTGAAGTGATGGATAACACTGGGGGAAAACAACATCTTAAACAATAAATTATAATCGCCATTTATTGAACCACTAGTATATGTCAGGAACTAAATAGTTAGCTCCATTTCTCATTTAACACGTATAACAGAGTTTGGGTATTTTATCCCAAATTTACATATGGGAATAGGAATTAGGTAACATGCCCAATGTCACACATAGCCTAGTCAGTTGCAGCCCGGGAATTTGAACACAGATCTGGTTGACTCCAAAGTCCATATTCTTTCTACTATAATGCATTGCTTATGTACTTTATCAGATTTTAAATCAACAACAATTCTAAATTCGTTTGATGCAGAATAAATCTTGAGCAGCATTATGAAATATATCTGTCAATTATGAAAATTACATTTATTTGTGAAAGAAAAATGGCACTAATATATTTGTGGGTGATGGATTATAAAACCAATAGGGTGAGCCATTTTGATCCTCAATTGTTAGAATGCTTACCTGTGACTCTGCCTTAGCACTGCTATGTTTTGTTTTGTTTTTTAATAATAATGTTACATAACAATAGGAAATTAATCAATGCCAAGTTCATTCAATGTCAAACTCTTTTTGTCACTGCATTCCTACTGTTAAGGTGCTTAATGCCTTATGTCTGTCTATGCTGGTGTTTAGAAATGCTGCCCCTGTGCACTCAAAGAGCCTGCTCTGGAGAGAGACAAAACGTTTTCTGACCTAGTATTTACATATGTTAATCCTTTATTTTAGGAGTGATGGTAGAAACTTCTAATGAAAGAATATTACGGATAGAAGCTAATGATACCAAAAAATCAAAAACAGAGAGAAAATATTGATGTCGTCGAGGATTTCATTTTACTTGGATCCACAATAAATGCCCATGGAAGCAACAGTCAAGAGATCAAACAACGTATTGCACTGGGCAAATCTGCTGCAGAAGACCTCTTTAAAGTGTTAAAAAGCAAAGATGTCGCTTTAAGAACTAAGGTGCGCCTGACCCAAGCCATGGTATTTTCAATCACTTCATATGCATGCGAAAGCTGGACAGTGAATAAGGAAGACTGAAGAAGAATTGATGCCTTCGAATTATTGTGTTGGCAAAGAACATCGAATATACCATGGATTGCCAGAAGAAGGAACAAATCTGTCTTCGAAGAAATATAGCCAAAACGCTCCTTAGAAGCGAGGATGGTGAGACTGTCTCAAGTACTTTGAACATGTTATCAGGAGCGACCAGACCCTGGAGAAGGACATTATGCCTGGTAAAGCAGAGAGTCAGCTAAAAAGAGAAAGCCCTTCAAGGAGATGGAATGACACAGTGCTGCAACAATGGGCTCAAACGTAGCAATGATTGTGAGGATGGCGCAGGACCCGGCAGTGTTTCATTCTGTTGTATACAGGGTTCCTATGAGAACTGACTTGATGGCACCTAACAACAACAAAACTGATGATCCTGTGACTATGTATGTTTATTCCCTTTCAAGGTCCAAGCACCAGGTTGAAAGCAGATGTCATTTGGCTTGAGATATAAAATTCTATGTACTCTTACAAAAGAGAAGTCCTAATAACTCCATGTTGTTATTTTATCTCTACCCCTACACCTAGCTGTTATGATAGTGGCTTTACACAGAGGAGTATCTACAAAGTCAGGAAGGGCTTCATGTAATGCTGGTTTAGAGGTGATCAAAGGGATGAGAGAGGGGAGTATTATTTTCTTAAACTGAGTTTTCTTCCTCTTTTTTTCTTTCCTTCCTTCCCGCCTTCACTTCCTTCCTCCCTCTTCCTTATTATGTAATAATTTCTAACCAAAGAATATATGAGATTTTTTAAAAGCATTGACCACAGAGAATTTTATAACTAGAATTATAAGATAACCCCCATCTATTTAATTAAAAACTTTTGCAAAACACACACTGCTTCTGAACACTCAGCAC